CGTCTTTTCATTAAAGGCTCCATNAATTGAAAACAAAATTGAAAAAATACCTATTTCTCCAAAGAAATTAGAAAAACCTCTAGTAACCTTACCAGAAGATAGGACTAAATTAGGAATTCCAGATCAACTTAGGATAGCCAAGATTGATCAGTTAATTAAAAAATTAGATGCACAAACCAAAACATCACAAACTTCTCAAGTAACTGTAATAAACAAAAAAACTGAAACTGAGACTTCCATATCTTCATCTGAGGAAGAAATTGAAAGCTTAGAAAAACAGTTCACTGACACAAGCATAAGTGCNCCATATCTTCATCTGAGGAAGATATTAAAAGCTTAGAAAAACAGTTCACTGACATAAGCATAAGTGCACCTATTTCTAAAATCAATAAGCTAGTTTTTCCTTCTAGTTCTACAAAAAATTGGTACTCCAAACCTACTCCTCCAGATATTCAATTTGAAGAAAAAAATATATCTAACCAATTTTCAGTTCAATCAAACAAACTCTATGAATGGAACATAGATGGATTAAGTGAGCACGAAATTCTCAACAAAATTCATCACATGTCTATGGTCATTAATAGTTATGTAAATAACCTTAATGATCCTGAACCCCAAATTGTAGACCTAATTACCTCAGGATTCACTGGAGTACTGAGGAGTTGGTGGGACAATTATCTTACCCCAGATTCTAGGGATGATATTAAAAATGCTGTTGTTCTTGATGATGATGGCATTCCAATTTTTGATGAAAGACTTGGCAGATCAAAACCAGATGGTTTAAACACTTTAATATTCACCATTGTCAAACATTTTGTTGGCACACCAAGTAATATTGAAGCTAGGATCCATGACCAGCTTAGTAACCTCAGGTGCCCAACACTTAGTGACTTTAGATGGTATAAAGATGTTTTTATCAATAGAGTTATGCTTCGCCCAGACTGTAATAAATCATTCTGGAAAGAAAAATTTGTAAATGGTTTACCTAATCTATTTGCCCATAAAATCAGAGAAGCCCTAAGTAAAGATACTGGAATCATAGAATATGATTCACTGACTTATGGCCAACTTGTCAGTACTATCCAAAAGGAAGGACTTAGGATGTGTATTGATCTTAAGATCAGTAAACAATTACAAAATGATAAAAAGAAAGCCAAATATGAAATGGGAAATTTTTGTGAACAGTATGGTCTCCCTCCAGTAGCACCGTCAACCTCTAAAAAACTTAGGCACAAATCCCATAAAAAACACAGGTCATATTCGGGACATAAATCTTATTATAAGAATAATAAAGATGTACTCACTAAACCTCAATTTTATAAAAAATCCAAAAAGACTACTAGACCTAAACCTAAGAAAACAGGAAAAATGTCTAAATGGTTAAACACCAATAAAGACACTATAACATGTTATAACTGTGGGAAAAAGGGTCACAAAAGTCCTGATTGCCCAATTAAAAAAGAAGTTAAAAAACTTAACCTAACCAATGAAGAAACTGACGAAATCCTTAAAATCTTCAGACTTCATAATCCAGAAGACTCAGACAAATCTGATGACTCAGACAATTCTGACACTTCCCTTCATTCTTCTACACCTTCTACAACAAGCGAACCTGATATTAAATTAGGATGTAATGACAATTGTTGTAAAAAGGTCAGAGTAATCACAGAACAAACTGAAGAACAAATTTTAATTGACTTAATCAGTAAAATTGAAGAACCACATTTAAAATCAAAATACATAAAAAATCTTAAGGATCTGTTTGTCAAAACAGACAAAAACAAACATCTTGTAATAGATAAACCTTTAATTAGTATTAACAAAACTATGGAAAGATTTAGTAAGGAAAAGAAAAAAGAATTAACCTTACAAGATCTCTATAGTGAAATTAATAAATTAAAAATTGAAATAAAAGATTTAAAGGCACAAGACAAACTCTTGGCAGAAAAATTAAGTCTTTTATCCGACACTCTTGAGCAAGAACCTCAAGATAATTACCAATCTGACAGTGATAAAACTAATAAATCAAATAAGACACTTTCCCAGCGGATACCCGTAGCCTCCACCTCTAATGTGGAAAACTCTGGTTTAACGAAGCTGCCATCTCATGATGGGTGTCTACAAACAGAAGATCAAATTAATTCTATCAAAGAAATTAAATTGCAAAAATGGTATTTTCAAATTAAAATANTAATTTGTTCCCATAACTCACCTATAATATAAGGCCTTTGGCATCAACTCTCTTCCCTTCAATAGGCTGCCCCACATCCAAGATGGTCTTGCACTCCTTCTAGCCTTCATAAAGTCCGAGTTAGGAAAATAAATCGACTTCAGGATTCAAGCCCAAGAGGAATTCGGGTTCTATATTAATCACCAGCGCTTGGCCAATAATGCCAAATTAAAGCAATGGAAATCTCTAAACCCCATGCCTCCCGAAGATTTAGATAAAGTCATACCATCCCAACATTTCCAAGGGATTCCACTAGTCTCTAGTTTCAGCCCCACCAGAAATGTTGCACAAATTGTGTCAATTTATCGCATAACTTCTGTGGGAAAATTAAGCAAGACATAGCGAAATTAGGAATTGCTTGAACTACCAATTTTACAAGAATTTTTTTCCCCACCTGGGAGAGATAGACCTCCTTCCATCCTTGGCTTTTCTTCATAATTCTCTCAAGTAGATAATTGAAGGTTTCAGCTTTTGATCTCCCCCACATAGTTGGCAGACCCAGGCATTTGGCATTATTTGGGAGAGCTTCAATCTCCATAAGTTAACTCATGATAATCTTTTGCTCCACTGATCTATTTGATGAGAAGAGGATTCTGAACTTGCTAAGATTAATAAGTTGTCCTGCCGCCTCACAATACTTCATTAGGATCAATTTCAGTCTAGTCCCATCCTGTTCTCTGGCCTCGAGAAAAAAGAGAGAATCGTCAGCAAAAAACAAGTGAGATAGTGTGGGTTTCCTACGGCGTATTCTCCATGGTTTGATAAACCCCTCATGCACCTCTTTCTGAACCATTCTTGAGAGGACATCAGCAACAAATAGAAAAAGATAGGGGTTCTACGGATCACCCTAACGAAGCCCCAGTTGGGGAATCACCTCGCCTCTTGATTCCCCATTGATCACCACCTCAAATTTAACTGTGCAAACACGTTGCATAATAAGGTTTATCCATCTCGGAGAAAAGCCCAATTTTTGCAAAATAGCTTCCAAGAAATCCCATTCAACCTGATCATAAGTTTTGTTAAGATCAAGCTTGATGGCGATGGATGGGGTTTTGCCTCTTTTGTTTATCTTTAGCGCATGAAAGGCTTCGTTAGCAACAAGATTGCTATCTTGGATATGCCTTTGGGGGACAAAAGCAGCTTGATTAGGCGTTACCAGGAGATGGAGGGTTTTCTTTCGTCTGTTTGCCAACACCTTCGAAATTATCTTGTACACAAAGTTACATAGTGCTATAGGCCGAAACTGAGAGAGGCTCTCAGGATTTGCTTCCTTCGAGATCAGGACTAGGTTCGTTCTATTAACATCTTGGGACAGCTTACCTTCTTCAAAAAAATTCCTGACAGCAGCACATACATCTGAACCAATTGTGTTCCAAAATTTCTGGTAAAACACCCCCAAATATCCATCTGGACCAGGTGCTTTAAGGGCCCCTTGCATCATTGTGGCCCTTTTTATCTCTTCATCAAACACTGGGTTAAGCAGAGTTTCATTCATTTCTGTGGAGACCAGATTGGGAATGACATCCAAAATCCCTTTGTCCTGAGGACTTAAACAAATTCAGAAAATTTTCAATCCATTCCCCATTCACTGATTTCAGCTTCACAATCTGATTTCGTTGTCGTCTTTGAATTGTAGTAAGATGAAAGAATCTCATATTTTGATCCCCCTCCCTTAACCAATTAATTCTAGAACGCTATAATCAATAGAGTTCTTCTCTTCACCAAATTGTCTCTAGAGTTCTTCTCTTCACCAAATTGTCTCTAGCTGTATTTTGATATCTTTTTCCTTCAAAAGATTTTGTCTAGTATGTTCCCTCTTCTGGACTTCTTCAAGGGCATGCTTCAAGTCTGACAGAATTTTGTTGTTATTGTTGAATTCTTCTTTTCTCCATTTTTGCAAACTCAACCTGCAATCTTGTGGTTTCGCTTAGACCGATCCCATACTCCTATTACTTGAGCCAATTTTCCAACTTTGATTCACTATCTCGGCACATTTCTCCAATTCCAGCCACATTGCTTCAAACTTAAAAACTTAAGGAATTTTTTTATACTTCGTATTAAAGTTTATAGAAATGGGACAATGATCTGAGCCAATTCTCGATTCATGAAGGGTTAGAGCTGCTGGAAACAATTTTTTCTATTGTGGGTTCACTAACACACAATCTATCCTTTCTTGGACATTGGCTTCTCCTTCCCTGTTGTTGGACCAAGTAAAATTCTGCCCCTTGAAATCAAGTTCCATCACGCTACAATTAGATATTAGGCTTTGAAGCTCTTCAATCGACCTCATACTTCCTATTCTGCCATCATGTTTATCCCAAACATAACCAATAATGTTAAAATCATCCACTATCAACCATGGGTATTCCTTAGCAACTGCCAGATTTCTAAGTACTCTCCAAAGATTTTGTCTCTAATGAAATTCAGAGTCAACGTAAATAAAGGAAGCCTACCACAGGCAAGGGGGATTACTGGTTGTACAAATAGCATTGACAAAGTTCCTGTTACTATTCTCAATTTCCACTTGAACATCATCTTTCCACCATAGATCCATCCCCCCTACAAGTTCCATAGGCTCCACATAAAAACTGTTTCTAAATTGCAATGATCTACGAATTCTCTCCAATTTTTCCGTCTTATTTTTCATCTCCATAAGGAAAACTATATTTGGACGATGGGTTTGGACTAGCCCTCGCAAAGATAGAACCGTCAGAGGTCGTCCTACTCCCTGACAGTTCCAGTCCTACTCCCTGACAGTTCCATGAAAGAATCAACAGGGAGCTTGTGGTTGTTCAAGGCTAGCCACCACCGCCTGTTTTTTCGACTCTGAGATCTCTTCCACTGATGGAAAAGTATTTGGAACTTGGGACATCCATTGTGATAGGCATAGATCCATGTAACTTTCATTGCTTCTCTCCCCCTTCTCATCACCCAAATGGTTGAGCATTGGAGTCTCGTACACCATAACCTCAATAAGGGATTCTGCCTCCAATACCGAAGCCTCTCCCCTCTTTCCATTGAAAACCTTATTACGTCCTCTGCCTCGACAAGATTTCCTGGGGAGATTTCTGCCACGACCAACTGCTAACCCAGATTTACTGTGTTGATGGATCCACAAGATATCCTTTCTCTTGGGATAATATTTGGCAAACATCTGAACATGGAACCCTCGACCTTTTGCAATATTTCTCTTCCTCTATTTTTGCCTTCCTTTTCAACTACAGCTGCTGAAAACCCCAAGTCAAACCCCCTTCCTCTTCTTTATACTTGATCAGCTTCATAGAAGGCTCTGATTTGGACAAGGATAAATGGGCATCAATGGGATTCTAGGTCGTATTTATAAGGCTATTTAGATCACTGGGTACATCATGGGCCTTGTCTTCCACTGGACTTTCAAAGGATTCCGTAAAAAAATAACCCAAAGAATTTGGATCAATATCCTCCCAAAAGTTTTGTACATCAATATTCAATCATGGGCCGCAAGGAATCCTAATAGACGCCCCTTCTTTTGGATTCTACAAGGTTGAAATGAATTCTGCAACGTAAAGTGAAACCTCTTTATTCCCTGGCTCCATCATGGTAGTAGAGGTAAGATTCTCCCATTGAGGACTTACACAAAGGTATTGAGAATTTGTTACTAAACCACGTGAAGGCAGGGGATTGGCTATTGGCAAAACAGAGCCCCGGGTGGATAACAGGTCGTACGAGGTAGTGCCTCATTGCTACTTTCCTGACAGCTAGCCCTTGATTGAACTTTGATCCCCTATACAATACGCGCCACCATCTCCCCACCCTCTCTAGCGTCCAGACTAACTTGTTTGAGCTTCTTCGATCTCCCCCTCCCCCTTGGTTATCTGATGAACCCCAACTTTCTCTGAAATTAGATGAACCTTGAGGTGATTGTGCCCGTAATTCTGGGCCAAACTCTAATGACTTCCCCTCCGATCTGTGTGGACAAGAGTTTCTACAATGGCTGATATAGCCACATTGGTAGTAGAAGTCTAAGAGCCTTTCATGTCGAAACTGGATCCAAGTATCGGCTAAATTCTCCCTAGTTAAGAGGAAGCCTCTCTTCAACGGTTCTGTGATATCAAATTCACATTTGATCCTTAAATAATTACGGTGATGCATCAACTCCTCCTTGAAATTATCCAACTATGTGGGTGTACTCAAAAATTCACAATTCTCCAGGAATTATTCTTCGACATCATATCAAAAGGGAGCCCCCAGATTTGAACCCAAAATTCCGTTGAATTGAACATATAATCTCTGATTATGGCATTAGGAGCACTTTTCTTCAACACCAATAGATTCCCCATAACTGACCAAGTGCCTTCTGAGTAAATTTTCTCTCTATCAGCTTCGGACCTGAATTTGAACAAACAAAACATTCCTCTCCCAGTGGGTAACTGAGAAACCATTGACAGCCTTCCATGCACCCTAAATAACGTTACATGCCCCATTTTTATTTAAATTCACGTCAGAAATAACTTTACCAACCAGGCAGAACTGCATAATCTCATTGACAGCTTGGGAATTTGAGAATAGAGACAGTCGGGGTAATTCTGTCTTCTTAGAATTTACTTCCTGCTCGATCTCCTGTGGCAGTGCTTCCCGTTCCATACTTGATTAATTTGATAGAAAAGACTCAATGGAAGAAAAGGCTTGAGGACTTAGGATACTGAGCAACTCAGTAATAGGAGGGGTCAAAGATTTATAGATGACAAAAATAAAACGTGAGAGTGGTAAAGAAAGACTATTCAAAGGGGAAGTCACACAGTGAATAAAATGGTGGATTTCATCAACTTGATTGAGAGTGTTCGCAGAGTAAAGATAGTAGGTAAGGTTTACGGATGGTCATCTGCTAGGCAAGGCTATGACCAGAACAAAGATGGGTGATATGAAAATGTTCAATTGAAGATTCCTGATGATACCCCAATAACAAACTCTTTCCGAAAACAAGGGTTTGGAGGTCTGAGAGTTTGAGGGAAAAACAGAGTGAAACCTTAAATATTATGGACAGAAATGCAAGAAACCCTAAAAGGTAGATTCCAAAATGGAATAGGAGGAACAGACAAATGAAAGTATTCTACGATTTCTCAAGAGTCTTACCTTCAAATAATGAATAGAAGACGAATAGGATCCATTTTTCGCGAATGGGGTTTCGTAAGGACCCAGATGCACTAGGATGGAAAAATCTTGGAAAATCAGAAGTAAAGAAATGAAGACATTGTANGACCCAGATGCACTAGGATGGAAAAATCTTGGAAAATCAGAAGTAAAGAAATGAAGAGACATTGTGNAAAAATCTTGGAAAATCAGAAGTAAAGAAATGAAGACATTGTATTCTACCAAGTAAATAATCTATTCCATGAATTGTGGAAACCATAGGTGGAAGAAGGGTGGGTTCTCTATTTCAATCTACTCTGGAAACGTAAGAAAGAGAGGATAAGTTTAGAAAGAAAACAAATGCTGAAACGTATTCAGGGGAAAACCCTTTAAAAGGGTAGGGATTCTCCATCGGTAGGAGAAAAGTCCTTATATTTAAATATATTTTAACTAGATTAATTATATGCGTTAAAATGTATCGTATTTATTTATATCTCTTTTGATATATACATATATTATGTATACATTAATTTCATATATCAATATAATAATAAAATATATATTTATACTTTTTTAATTATGTATTATTCTTATTTTTGAATTAAAAGTGTATCACTCCTACTTTTCATCATTCTTATCAAATAGAACATTATACTTTTGATATCTTGACTCAGCACCTATTGTTGGGTCTTATTCTATGTTATGTACCGTTGGGTCACTGGTCGGATCAATAATATAATAAAAAATTAAAAAATAATTATAAATACTAAAAAATAGGCTAAAAATCACAATAATTATAAAAATAACATCAAAAATATAAAGTTAAGCAGAGAAAAATTATCAAACATGTATCCAATTCCAATGTATTCAATTTTCAATACAACTTGTAAAATTAAGTAGAGAAAAATACTCCTATTTAAGTTCAAGGCTCCAAGTCCAAGCCCAACTCTTATGACAATGCATCAATTCAAGCATAATCTATGTAATTTGTACCCTTCAAAATTCAAACTCAAACTATAATAAACAAGACACATGAAAACAAAACGAAGCACGTGAGCATAACATAAAGACTCAAATAAATGAAACTCAAAATAAATTATCCGATCATTGTCTAATTCCACTTGAAAATATAAATATTACCACTTTTATCAAATAACTAATCTATAACCTAGTTATATATAATGAACAATAAGAAGCCCAAACAAACCACAAGTTCAATACCGCAATTCATCTACCGCAAATGCAAATTAAACCAAAAATTAGATATTGGCATATTGCAGAGTCAAAGAATTAAAGATAGTACAGTACTCAGTACAGAGTCTAGAGACAAGAGAGATAACAGAATGACTGATTAAAGTCACTAAACGTGCGAGAGAGAGAGTATCAGTATGATGGATGGNTGTGGAAACCATAGGTGGAAGAAGGGTGGGTTCTCTATTTCAATCTACTCTGGAAACGTAAGAAAGAGAGGATAAGTTTAGAAAGAAAACAAATGCTGAAACGTATTCAGGGGAAAACCCTTTAAAAGGGTAGGGATTCTCCATCGGTAGGAGAAAAGTCCTTATATTTAAATATATTTTAACTAGATTAATTATATGCGTTAAAATGTATCGTATTTATTTATATCTCTTTTGATATATACATATATTATGTATATATTAATTTCATATATCAATACAATAATAAAATATGTATTTATACTTTTTTAATTATGTATTATTCTTATTTTCGAATTAAAAGTGTATCACTCCTACTTTTCATCATTCCTATCAAATGAAACATTATACTTTTGATATCTTGACTCAGCACCTATTGTTGGGTCTTATTCTATGTTTTGTACCGTTGGGTCATTGGTCGGATCAATAATATAATAAAAAATTAAAAAATAATTATAAATACTAAAAAATAGGCTAAAAATCACAGTAATTATAAAAATAACATCAAAAATATAAAGTTAAGCAGAGAAAAATTATCAAACATGTATCCAATTCCAATGCATTCAATTTTCAATACAACTTGTAAAATTAAGTAGAGAAAAATACTCCTATTTAAGTTCAAGGCTCCAAGTCCAAGCCCAACTCTTATGACAATGCATCAATTCAAGCATAATCTATGTAATTTGTACCCTTCAAAATTCAAACTCAAACTATAATAAGCAAGACACATGAAAAAAAAAAACGAAGCACGTGAGCATAACATAAAGACTCAAATAAATGAAACTCAAAATAAATTATCCGATCATTGTCTAATTCCACTTGAAAATATAAATATTACCACTTTTATCAAATAACTAATCTATAACCTAGTTATATATAATGTACAATAAGAAGCCCAAACAAACCACAAGTTAAATACCGCAATTCATCTACCGCAAATGCAAATTAAACGAAAAATTAGATATTGGCATATTGCAGAGTCAAAGAATTAAAGATAGTACAGTACTCAGTACAGAGTCTAGAGACAAGAGAGAGAGAGAGATAACAGAATGACGGATTAAAGTCACTAAACGTGAGAGAGAGAGAGTATCAGTATGATGGATGAAGGACGTGAGAGTATCAGTATACTTGCTACTCATTCCTTTTCTTGCTCACAGTCGTAGACTCGCAATGTAGCAATCAGTAGAGACTCAAAGAGAGACTGAGGCAGAGTAACTGTAGTGGTAAGAGAGAGAGAGGGTTAAAAGAGAGAGAAAGACACACGTCTGTGTCTGTCCACCATCGACGAAGAAGCAAAGGCCGAAGCAATTTAGGGCAAAACACAAGATGCCCAAAAAGTGCCAAAATTCTTAGATTTATAGTAATTTAATTTAACTGGCCGGTTTAGTTCAACTCATTAGGTTCGGGTGGTTTAGCTTTTGACTGGTTTAATGGGTTGATCCCGATTTTTATGTACAAACGTCATTTAAGGGAACCATGTTGATTCAGGCATCGGTTCATCAAGACAACCCGCCGAACCGACTAAGTTTTAAAACACTTATCATATTAGCAATACAACAATATAACTTGAATTTCTTATATTTTTGAAACTTAGCGCCCAAACTATGAAGTTTAGAGAAGATAAGCGTACATAATTTTATCTCATATACAAATAATTATTTTGGATTACTAGAATTCGTGAATATTTTTTAGGTGACAATGTCATAAACATTATTTAATTTTTTTTTTTGTTTCAACGGTCAAGAGTGTCTGAACCAGTTTATGCACACCTCGATTAATTCTTTCTTCGATTCGGTCAAAAATAAATTATTATTATGATATTTATTGAGAAATAAATTCTTAATGTCCTGGTCCAAGAAATTACTAACCTTTTTCTAACGTGGTAAACAGCTATTTGACACTATCCTGGAAGAGCCGTGGACGCTTCAGCACGAATACAATCTCCGCCTACAAAAAGGACTACAAACGATCAGTAATCACCTAAAATACCATTGAGTCTTCTGTTTGGACACAAGTAGGAACCTAACCCCGACTCGTACAAAAACAAACCAGTCCACCCTTGGACTTCTCGCTTATCCACATACAACTCAAAACCTACTCTCTCTTCTTCCCCGTTCCCTCCGTCTGTGTGTGTGTATGTGTGTGTCTGTGTGAGAGAGAGAGAGAGAGCGAGANGCAAATGCAAATTAAACGAAAAATTAGATATTGGCATATTGCAGAGTCAAAGAATTAAAGATAGTACAGTACTCAGTACAGAGTCTAGAGACAAGAGAGAGAGAGAGATAACAGAATGACGGATTAAAGTCACTAAACGTGAGAGAGAGAGAGTATCAGTATGATGGATGAAGGACGTGAGAGTATCAGTATACTTGCTACTCATTCCTTTTCTTGCTCACAGTCGTAGACTCGCAATGTAGCAATCAGTAGAGACTCAAAGAGAGACTGAGGCAGAGTAACTGTAGTGGTAAGAGAGAGAGAGGGTTAAAAGAGAGAGAAAGACACACGTCTGTGTCTGTCCACCATCGACGAAGAAGCAAAGGCCGAAGCAATTTAGGGCAAAACACAAGATGCCCAAAAAGTGCCAAAATTCTTAGATTTATAGTAATTTAATTTAACTGGCCGGTTTAGTTCAACTCATTAGGTTCGGGTGGTTTAGCTTTTGACTGGTTTAATGGGTTGATCCCGATTTTTATGTACAAACGTCATTTAAGGGAACCATGTTGATTCAGGCATCGGTTCATCAAGACAACCCGCCGAACCGACTAAGTTTTAAAACACTTATCATATTAGCAATACAACAATATAACTTGAATTTCTTATATTTTTGAAACTTAGCGCCCAAACTATGAAGTTTAGAGAAGATAAGCGTACATAATTTTATCTCATATACAAATAATTATTTTGGATTACTAGAATTCGTGAATATTTTTTAGGTGACAATGTCATAAACATTATTTAATTTTTTTTTTTGTTTCAACGGTCAAGAGTGTCTGAACCAGTTTATGCACACCTCGATTAATTCTTTCTTCGATTCGGTCAAAAATAAATTATTATTATGATATTTATTGAGAAATAAATTCTTAATGTCCTGGTCCAAGAAATTACTAACCTTTTTCTAACGTGGTAAACAGCTATTTGACACTATCCTGGAAGAGCCGTGGACGCTTCAGCACGAATACAATCTCCGCCTACAAAAAGGACTACAAACGATCAGTAATCACCTAAAATACCATTGAGTCTTCTGTTTGGACACAAGTAGGAACCTAACCCCGACTCGTACAAAAACAAACCAGTCCACCCTTGGACTTCTCGCTTATCCACATACAACTCAAAACCTACTCTCTCTTCTTCCCCGTTCCCTCCGTCTGTGTGTGTGTATGTGTGTGTGTGTGTGTGAGAGAGAGAGATAGAGCGAGAGAGAGAGAGAGAGAGTCAATGGATCTCCTACAGTCCTACAAAGGCACCGACATGGACGATGACGAACAAGGCCAAGAATCACCGGATCAAAACCCTAATTCCACAGGCTCCGATCACTCTTCACCCGATTCTTCACCGCTGCGGATCTCTCTCCCCTCCAAATCCGCCGCGCCCAAAGTCGACGACACCATGCTCGCTCTCACCGTCGCCACCGACCCGAAGCGAAACCAATCCAAACCCATTAACCCGACCCAACATGTTGTCAACTTCAACCCCACCTACGACCAGCTCTGGGCACCCATTTACGGCCCTGCACATCCCTATGCCAAGGATGGTCTCGCACAAGGCATGCGAAATCACAAGCTAGGGTTCGTCGAGGACGCCTCAATCGGATCTTTTGTTTTCGACGAACAGTACAACACTTTCCACAAGTATGGCTACGCCGCCGACCCATCGCAGAATCAGTATATCGGAAATTTGGACGCGTTTCAGCAAAACGATGGTATTTCGGTGTATAACATACCACAACACGAACAGAAGAAGAGGAAGCTTGAGAAGAAAAAGGAAAAATTGGATAGTGAAGAGAATGGGGAAGATGGGGAAGACGGTGGTAATGTGGACCCCACCGAGGTTGACAATCCAGCGTCGGAGGCGTGGTTGTTGAAGAATCGGAAGAGTCCGTGGGCTGGAAAGAAAGAAGGGTTACAAACGGAGTTGACAGAGGAGCAGAAGAAGTATGCGGAGGAATATGCGAAGAAAAAGGGTGAAGAGAGAGGTGGGGATCGAGACAAAGGCGAAATTGTACAAGATAAGAGTACATTTCATGGTAAGGAGGAGAGAGATTATCAGGGTAGGTCGTGGATTGCGCCACCAAAGGACGCGAAGGCGACGAATGATCATTGTTATATACCCAAAAGATTGGTTCATACGTGGTCCGGGCACACTAAGGGTGTGTCTGCAATTAGGTTTTTCCCCAAGTCTGGTCATTTGATTTTATCGGCAGGGATGGATACAAAGGTGAAGATTTGGGATGTGTTCAATTCGGGGAAGTGTATGAGGACTTACATGGGGCATTCCAAGGCTGTAAGAGATATTTGGTTTTGTAATGATGGGACCAAGTTTCTGACTGCGGGGTATGATAAGAATATCAAGTACTGGGATACAGAGACCGGGCAGGTGATATCGACATTTTCAACGGGGAAGGTACCATATGTTGTTAGGCTCAACCCGGATGAGGATAAACAGAATGTACTTTTAGCTGGTATGAGTGATAAGAAAATTGTTCAGTGGGATATGAATTCCGGGCAGATCACTCAGGAGTATGATCAGCATTTGGGGGCTGTGAATACTATCACATTTGTGGACAATAATAGGAGATTTGTTACTTCTAGCGATGATAAATCTTTGCGAGTTTGGGAATTTGGAATTCCAGTGGTTATAAAGTATATAAGTGAACCTCACATGCATTCTATGCCAGCAATTTCACTTCACCCGAATAAGAATTGGCTTGCAGCGCAGAGTCTAGACAATCAGGTTCTTATTTATAGTACTAGGGAGAGATTTCAGCTTAATAAGAAGAAGAGGTTTGCAGGGCACATAGTAGCAGGGTACGCTTGTCAGGTTAATTTCTCACCAGATGGACGGTTTGTTATGTCGGGAGATGGTGAGGGTAAAATGTGGTTTTGGGACTGGAAGAGTTGCAAAGTGTTTAGAACACTCAAGTGTCATGAGGGAGTTTGTATCGGTTGTGAGTGGCATCCGTTGGAACAAAGTAAAGTGGCTACATGTGGATGGGATGGCTTGATCAAATACTGGTATTAACTCTTGACTATACTTGAATGGTTTTTACGTTTTGTGTATATGCATGTCAATGACTTTGTTTCCGTTACATTGTTATGTCATACAATATATGGTACACGTCTCTCGTGTAGCCCCATTCTAAATCCCTTTATATGGCGTGGCTTCTAGTTTTCATGCTCTAAATTACTTTGAATGTCTCTTAACTTCCGTAATTTTTTNTTCTAAATCCCTTTATATGGCGTGGCTTCTAGTTTTCATGCTCTAAATTACTTTGAACGTCTCTTAACTTCTGTAATTTTTTATGGCATCNCCCCATTCTAAATCCCTTTATATGGCGTGGCTTCTAGTTTTCATGCTCTAAATTACTTTGAATGTCTCTTAACTTCCGTAATTTTTTATGACATTTTGGAATTTGTGGTGGCTCCAGCATACCTTGGTGAGAAGCATGAATATAGCACACCATATAAGATGAGAGAGCAGAATCTTAGGGACTTACTGATGCCATTGTTGTGGCCTGAATTTCAAGAAGGCCTTGTGTGCATGATGTAATGATTTGGAAGGAACTTAATTAATTAAACAATCAAAAGCAAAACCCTTAACACAAACCTATAAAAAGAAGGTGATTAAGTTGGGTTAAGTTTTGAGGGCACTGTCTTTACAGTAAATGTACCTGTAATTAGTCATTACATGAACGTGGTGGCGGCCATAGGTTGGCGTCATCATATCAATGTATTGTTTAGGGAATCAATAGGTGTTTACATGTTGTGACCGTTTAATGTCAAATTGGAGGCAGATTTGTGCAGAGAGACTTTATTTGAATCCTTATAAAATTCTTCATCTAACGAACATAGATCTCATCCTCTGAGCTGGAACTTTCATTTTTGTTGATGTTTCTAGCTTCCATTTTCTTTTTATTGTACTTTTTTGGCACGTGTCTAGTTGGTATTTAAGCTAAAGTGCACACTATCCAATTTCGTATTGAGGAGTTAATAGAAGCATGGTGACTGACGTAGGACTGCTTTATGAAAACTAGGGCTATGACACCTTAAAGTGAATTCTTGCTCGCTTTAGATCGTGGAAAGTTTCTAGGGTCCCGATTTTAACAGGTAGATAGATGGTTTTGGTTTGTTGATATTGAAAGAATTCTGCAGCATTTTGTGGACTGTGTGCTTAAAATGCCTTGGATAGCTACCAAGTTAACGGTTTTGGTATTAATTCAGTGGCCAAACGGTAGGTAATGGGGTTGAGTTGGTTTGGGATTGATATGGTGAAGTTTTGGGCTAAAAAGGTGTAATGCTGTAGGGATTTGACACCAACCCAAGAACAGTATACTAAATTTTCTGTGAGTTTTGTGCTCTTGGGATGCAATATTGATATGAAGGGAAGGATAGCNCAAGAACAGTATACTAAATTTTCTGTGAGTTTTGTGCTCTTGGGATGCAATATTGATGAAGGGAAGGATAGTNGGGATTGATATGGTGAAGTTTTGGGCTAAAAAGGTGTAATGCTGTAGGGATTTGACACCAACCCAAGAACAGTATACTAAATTTTCTGTGAGTTTTGTGCTCTTGGGATGCAATATTGATATGAAGGGAAGGATAGCGCATTGTATATAAGGATGTCATTGTTGAGAAGGAGTAATTTTAGAGGCCTAGTCATGGACTCATCTGTAATGAAAGTTTAGTAAAAAAAGAGAAAAGACGAATTTAGGAATCCTTCTTAGAATTCCTTGGAATCATCCCCAATCTAAGGTTGCATAAAACATCAAACAAAGCCCCACAACAATTTCTCAAATCTTGATGCATTCTTCAACATGTATGTGTTTGCCTGGGCGTGTCCATGCACCCATAGATTTATTTGTGCTTGCATTTTTAAAAGCTTATCAACCTTTTTTCATGTCAGTGAAAGCTAACTGAGCTGCAACTCTTCTCAAGACTAATTGATGTAATCTCTGGCTTGCAGGGACTAGCCTTTCTACCTTACAATTGTATGCTCGCATCAGTTGATCAACTCATGTCAGACTCGTTCAACTGGAGAACTAAGGTTGCCAAACTACAAGCTGCATGTTGTTTTGAGATTGGCAGAAGCTAAGGTTGCTTGCTGTTTAGAAACGTCAATCATGGACGAAACAATTCAAGTGTAGTGAACCTGTCCCACTTTCTCGTTTGGCCAATTAACAGTATAGCATATTAAAGAGAGAAAAGGCCATATGAGTCATTACTCATGTAATTTAGTTGTAACACACTGAGCAAAACTCAAATTTTTATTGCTGAAGTGTTTTCCTTTGTCATCTATGTATATTAGGAGTTTTGCTTGTTAAATATGCATATGGCTCTTGGGAGCTTTGGTTGGACATCAGTTTTTCTGTTTGATTTTTTGTGGCATTGGGTATCAAGCCATGCATAGTGTTAGAGCTATTCAAGCTGAGACATGATTCAGAGTCTCAAAAATACAATCTATTGGTGTTGATTTCCTTGCATTTTACCATTAGCAGCTAGTATTTGCGGCTATTTATACCATTCTGATTAGTTTGATTAAGATGAAGTCTTCAACTGTTTCATAAGCTTCTGTGGTAAAGGTCATGTACTTGGTGGTGTTCACGTTATCCTAGAGATCGAAATTATGGTATTTCATCTTTCCACCTAATATTTTGTAAAAAAAAATTTCTTGGCCTACCTTACCGATCAAGTGTATTATTTTTATCCAAATTTTGTCCAAAACAATCTAGTAAAGAATCGAGTGAACTCATATTTTTTAATTATTAATTTTTGAATCATTTTAACAATTTAATTAAGTAATTTGTATCAATTAACTAATACAATAAATCAATAGCACTAAAGAAAATACAATAAATTCAATAATATATAAATAATTACAATACAACACAACAAGAAAGTCATAAATATCAATACATCATATATAAGAAAGCTATGTATATATGTGGATAAAAATACAAAAATTTTATAGGTATTTTGTATTCTTACCTACTTTTTGTAAAATACCAAAAGATTTTCTATTGGCCTACCCAATTTTTCAGGTAGCCAATCAATAAGATTGGGTAAAATAAAATAGAATTGAAATTTAAAAATAATCAAAAATTTAAACATCCTTACATATACTCATCAGTTTTATTTTTGAGATACCATTAAGAATATCAGTTCACAGCGGCGGCGCCCCCACTGCCTCTTTGCTCTGCTTTCTGTCTTCTAAACTTAAAATGGAAAGCATATCACATGTTTATAGAAAGAAAAAGAAGAGCAGTATGGCTCTGGCTCCTCACCTGATAATGTTTATTAGTAGATGTGCTGTTAATTAAAACAGCGTTGTTTTGCACTAAAATGACGAGTAAATAAATGATGTGTAAATATTGAATATAACAGTGATATCAAGTTATTATTGATGATATGTTGTCACTATCTAATAATAAAACTCTAAATGAGTAAGGTGAACTTTACTTAAACTTATATAGAAAAACTAGTTATTGTCTGTGTCTGAACGCACAGAATAATAAAAAATGGTAAATAATAAATATATTTATATTTATATCCNCTTTACTTAAACTTATATAGAAAAACTAGTTATTGTCTGTGTCTGAACGCACAGAATAATAAAAAATGGTAAATAATAAATATATTTATATTTATATCCAAAATTAAATCACAAACATAGAGAAGAGATAAAAGAATTTAAGTATCGATTTGTAATAGGGGTGAGAGGTGATGGACGATAGTAGTGGTAATAGAAAACGGTGATGGTTGATGGGTGACAATGATCGTGGTAGCGTTGGTGGCAGCGATTGTGGTGGTGGTGACGGCAACGGTGGTGATGGTGGTGGCGACGGTGGCAGTGGTGGTGGTGGTGGCGATGGAGGCGGTGGTGGTAGAGATAGTGATGGAGGGTGGTGGAGTGATTTTAAACATTATTTAAAAAAAAAATATTTATGAGAAATAATTTTTAAAAGTACTTTTAAAAAGTTATTTCAAACACATCATTAAAGACTTATTTTTCCTATTAAATTTAGGGTGTTAATATTAACCGTTAGATTAATTTTAAAGTAAAATTTAAAGCGATCTCAACCGCGAATAACAAAAGTTATTTTGTTTATCTTTTGAGGTTTGAATTGTAAACCATAGTATATAGATAGTGATAAATTATTTGCTTACATATATGACAAGTTAATTATTATTTTTATAAGGACCATTTTTTATTTATTTTAATATTATTAATATGTGATTGAAACCATATTACATTACCACCGTTGTAAGGAATATTTTTTCCAAAATAACGCTGTTTGTTGTTGATTTTCTAACGGTGGAAGATGCTCATCCGAGCAGTTTGTTGATCTCTCAAATATTAGGGACCCCTAAAGGAGGTAAAAAAAACAAATGCGTTTGCCGGGAGTCGAACCCGGGTCTATTGCTTGGAAGGCAATTATCCTAACCGTTGGACTACAAACGCCGGTGCATGTAACTGGCCAACAATTTCTATTTATAAATAAAATATTAACCCTACTCCCAACACATGAATGAGCGTCTCTGATATTCAAAATCGCAGCAAACATGGAGATTAGTCGCTGCGTGTGGATGAGGCGAGTTGGGATGGCCAGTGCGAATTCTCTGCTCCGCATGACTTTTTTCTCTTCCATTTCCGCCCCAATTCCACCCTTGTCCTACTCTTCTTTAAAACAACCATACCCACCTCTGAATCTCATTTCACATCGTCGCTCGCTCTGTACCCCCACCCATTCCTCTTCATCTCCTATTTTTTCAACCTCCGATAATGGTAAACTCTTGCTCACATATCTGCATATCTGCATAAGTATGTATGTATCTTTAGTCGTTAGGATTGTGCTTGTAGTTTATTGGTTATTGGAATTGTTCTATACAGGGTGTGATGACAAGAGTGGGTACCCAATGAAGGGCTCAAGAGTGCTTTTAAAGGGAATGAGATATGCTGAACTTGAAGTATGTATTTGGGTTTTGTTTTTTTGTTTTTTTTTTCCTTCTGAATCTTCCTTTTTATTGTTTGTTTAAAAGTTGGATTTCATAGCAATGCGGTTGGTGCTGAATCTTACTTATTTTGTGATAGTATTTATACACCAAATTGAGTTATTTTGTTATTCTTTTCGACCACTTGCTTTTTGCGTTGAAGAATTAGGGAGCCATTTGGTTTTCTGGAAATCGAATTCGATTATAAATGCTGGGCATGCTCTTAGTTGAGGGCTTTGAGTGTGCCTTCCATTTTTATGACTTATTCTGAAATACAGATATCCTTTTATTCACGCACTTACCTGGGATAAGCCACATTTTATTTTGGACCAGAATTGCTGGCCTACTTTCCTGAAAGGTGGAGTTTTGTAAATGTATAATACAAATAAAAAGTGAAACAACCATGTTACTAGTTTCTGCTGTGGTGCTTATTTGGGCTGCCTTTCATGATAATATTTTTTCATCTCTAACATTGACATTGCTAAAAACTGCAATCAAGGACACCCATGGCAGTAATTTTCATTTGTGAATAACAATTGAGGGGTGGGGATGGTTATGCTTGTGGTAATTCTCTTTTTTCCACTTGTAATTCACATTGACCTTCTGGTATAGGTTGGTCTTTGGTGGCTCTTATGCTTGATAATTCAACAGTTTTTAAAGCAGTTGAACAATTATTTTCTTAGTTGGGTCATGGCTTTAGTATATACCATGAGCACACGCCTGGGGACAAAATGGACTAGATATGACTGCATGTGTAGACTTCCTAAGTTAGAAAATGAGTTCATTTCTCCTTCCATAGCAACTCGAGACATGTTTCGATAGCTAATTGTTGATTGTCTAGCAACAAAAAAACCGATAAGTTAAGTCTCTAATGGAGCCTATATTCAAATCTAAGATATAGGGATGTCCATTCACATCGTACATTTTTTGTGAAATGAAGAAGTTCTTTAGGGGTTTTCTTTCAATTTTCCATTTTTTAAATGATGACAAAGTGAGCGAATGTGTAAGAGAATTTCCAAATGTGGTCACTCTTTGGTTATTGTCATAAACTATACTTGATTGGTGATACTTTATCTGCCCACGTTACAAGCACCACTAAAAACCATGGGTACAGTACAGGAAACTCTTTTGAAAAGCAAAAGAAAAATGCACATATAAGCTTATGAAAACAAGGGGATGGACAGTCTGTGTCTTGAGGAAGCCATCTCATTGACATCAATGTCCACACAATGTTGCAATATTTGAAATGGAATATGACCTCAGATAGCTAGAGATGCAATTTCAAAGCCTTAGCAATATCACAATTTAACACGAGCAAGATTTCCAACAGTTAAAAGGGCATAATGTACAGTGTAAGTCAATGGTGAGATTTTTGGATGTGGAAAAGTCTGTAATAATTTACTTGACGTTGATTATGTTATTCACTTTTTCCCTGAATTTCCTAGACGGATGGTTGCACAACAATATGTAAGTTAGACAATGATGCAATTCGTTGACTGATTTGTGGCTTCATTCTTATCTTGGTTAATCATTTTGGAATTTTGTTGAAAATTTTTCATGCTGATATCTCTTATTTAGGGCTTCTACTTCTAATTTTGTGAATTGTTTCAACAGAAATGGGTCCAATCACATGGGTATAGGCCTGCTCAGGCATTGATGTTATGGAAGCGCCTCTATGGGAATAATATATGGGCACATTGTTGTGAGGAACTAGAAGGTTGTTTTTATTTGTTTCCAATGTTAAAAAATGTAACTATGTATAAGGAATGTTTCTCGATCATCTTTATAGTCTATTCTACTCCTTTTGATTATGGGTACTTGCTCCCCCATTCAAATTGTTGACAACTGTGAAAAAAAATGATTAATTATTTATAGGTTTGAATAGAGATTTCAAGAAAATGTTGGGTGAACATGCTGAATTCAAGACTGTATATTTAAAAGATATTCTGACAGCATCTGATGGAACTAGGAAGGTAGACATAATCTTTTTGAGTTTTCATGGTAGCTGTTTCTTTAGGTGTTAGTTGTACATGTGGTTTTCAATCTTGTAGATTCTTCTCATTTATTTAGAACTCGCAGGAGGTTACAGATTTTATTCACATTGGAAGATGGACTGGTAATAGAAACAGTTGTGATACCTTGTCCTAGAGGGAGGACTACTGTCTGTGTTTCAAGTCAAGTGGGCTGTGCTATGAATTGCCAGTTCTGCTACACTGGCAGGCAAGCTCTATATCTCATAAGATTCCCCAAGTATTCAGTGATTTAGGTGAGCTCTATCCACTTGATGCATTATTTTTTTTTTGTAGGATGGGTTTGAGGAGAAATCTAACAGCGGCTGAGGTAGTGGAGCAGGCTGTTTTTGCGCGGCGCCTGCTGTCGAGTGAAGTTGGCTCCATTTCGAATGTTGTATTCATGGTAGGTGCATACTAATGGGGTCTTCAATTTGCCACTATATCCTCTGAGAAGGAAAAACTAAATACTGCTCAATTTGATGTTTGGAACTGCTCATTTCCATGAGTTGCATCAATTGATTAGCTTACTGTGCACTCTGCAATTTCATGTAACACTTCCTATTGTTTTGGTGGTTCTACTTCTACCCACTGATACAGTTTTATACTCCAGATGACAGATCCATTTTTGTATTTGAGTACTCCTGCACCTGCCATTTTACCGATAAGCATTTTTATTCTTGTTTCTAATAAGACTTTATATTCAATCAAACCAATGTGCTTGTTGAGCTGCAAGATTTATCCGTGTTCACTTGTTGACGCATAATACAGTTGATTACGTTGAGCCTTAATTGAAGTGTACTTAAAATGAAACAACCCTGAAGGATCTTATTATGGGGATTGTATAGAAATTGGATAGATATTTTAGATTAATCATGAGAATAATTTAGTATTTATCTTGTAAGTATTTTCTTTTAACTTTTAAAGGTTTAGTTATCATTTTGATTATTTATTTATTTTAGGGTTTGTGATCTCCTTATATATGTAGGATTTGTGAACTCCTTATATATATAGGCTATGAAGCACGGATACGGATACGGATACGGATACGGATACGGTCAAGATATGGCTACAATAAAATATATTTAAAATTTTTATTATTTTGAACCAATTTAATACTTATATATTTTGGTAATTCTTTAATACAATAAGAAAAAATAGTAATTCTTTTTAGTTTCAAGAAAATATATATCGTATCACTATAGTATATTCATAATGTGAAGTGATTAATTAAATGAATCAAAGTTAATATTTATCGAGTCAAGTTTATTTAGAAGTAATTTTTGCTCAGCTTATAACGCAGTAGATTTATTTTATGCTATTTTGACATGTAATTGTAGATAATATTTAAAAAATATTCATGTGTCTTTAAAGTAGTATGAATTTTTGTTAATGTATTTTATGATATGTTAATTTGAAAGGAAATGTTAAAAATTTAACTCAAAAATTATATATGTTGCTTGAATACAAAAATATCCGTGAAGTATTCTAATATTTAATTATTATCGGATACGTAAGAGGTGTATCTAATACGTATCATCGAGTATCCGACAAGTATCATATCCGATACAGTATTCGATACGGGTTCGTCGACCTCAACGAAACATCCGTGCTTCATAGTATGTAGGGATACATATTTGTTGTGAGACTAAACTTTGATTATTGAATCTTGATATTGCTTCTTCCTAAAATTCTCTCTCTATTCTTATCCCCTTCTTCTTCTTTTTTCATTCTTTTCTTCTTCCATTCTCATCCCTAATTTTTCCTAATACGATCTACATCAATTTGGTATCAGAGCCCAATTTCGATTCGTACAAATCACAAAAATCACAGCAACATTGTTCATCAAAAAAAAAAAAATCATTGTTCACTCGTGCACTATTCATCAATGAAAAAAAAACAAGGCTAGCCAGGAAAAAATAAAAAAATTATTAGATTTCGTTGCTGTAGCAGTTGCCTGGTGGGTTAAGCTTTGACCCAAAGTCCACAATATTATCAAAAACATCCCCAGCAAATTCAAAAAATTACAGAAACAACATTCCAGCTGTTCTATAATTACAAAAACACCCCATAAAGTTCTAGAAGTTACAAAATCACCACCAGAAGTTCTAGAAATTGCAAAGTCTTCCTCCCAGAAGTTTCAAAAATTGTAGAATGATCCCCAAAAATTTTGAAATTTCTTTTTGATTATGGTATGCATACTCCTATAGATTTTGAGACTAATATTTTTATTAATTGGAAAATTAGAGAATATACAAAGGGTCCAAAACACGTTTTCTTCTATTTAAACTTTCTTGAAATTGTCAATTGCATTCTTAAATTTGTTCTTATACCATTCTCATCTCTCAAGAGTTACTCATGAGTTCCTCTAATACACATGTTTCAAGAGTCTCTCGTCAAGGTCATCATCATAGGAAGTCTAGGAATGTTACATGGAGTCAACTCATATGACCAAACTAGTTAAAGATCCTTCTATATTTAGTGGCACTTTAGATCCTTTTAAATTCTTGAATTGGTTAGCTAATGTAGAAGAATATTTTGATTGGCTTGGTATGTTGGATTCTCATTGCGTTCGTTTTGTTAAATTGATGTTGGAGGGTTCAGTCAAGAAGTATTGACAAACAATCCAAAGAAACCTAGATCCTTTAGGAGAATCACCTGTCACTTGGGTTGACATGAGGTATAAATTGAAAGAGAAATATTTGCCTACTTCTTACATGGATCAAGTTTATGACCAATGGCTCAATTTTAGACAACATTCTTCTAGTGTCTTTGATTACTTTGCCCAGTTTGATTATCTCATATACTTGTGTGACATTGTTGAAGAACTTTGGACAATTGATCAGTTTATTTTTGGGTTGAGACAAAAAATTAGTAGGGAAGTCAAACAATATACTTTTAGTACGTTAGTTGCAGCCTATCAATATGCTCTAAAGGTTGAGAGATTTCATAAAAAATTCAACTATAGCTTTATGGGTTCTCAATCTCAGTCTGCTAAACAGTGTGACAGGATATCTTCCAATTTTAATTCCACCACATATGAGTATCATGATTACTTGAATGATATCCATGTTATTTCTGCATGTTTTCCTAATTCTATGGTGATCCTAGATTTGGATGATACACTCTCACATACAAAAAAAGATATTACTCATGTCGACTTCCAATTCCCTTGTCCGGTTTTATTAGATCAGAGTTTACCTCCTTCATCCCAACAAAAATCAATACCAGAAGAAAGTGAGTTTGAGTCTTTGCTAGATTCAAATGTTGAGTCACCACTTGTAATAGAACTTTCTGAAAAGTCTATCGAGTCCACACTAATGAAAGATATCGAGCTTATTGAGTTACCTATTTCAGAATTTTTTTTGTGATCGTTTTGTGTCTCTTATTTCAAGTCAATCTAACTTTGTTCTCAAATCTTTTTCCACTGAAATAGTTGACTTTATTCCTACTATCAAGATTTCACTTGAGTTGGTACTTAATTATTTTAATCACCAAGGCGTTATTGTTACTCCTTTGTCATCGATGTCTTGTCCTATTGAATACTTTTTGTTGAAACTTAATGAGAATTGTTTTGCTATTCTCGAGTTTGGATCTAATGTTTATTTGCTTAATTTTTCATTGAATGTTACTATTAGTCCAGATTTTTATTTGGAGGACATGCTATTTAATCGAGGTGCTCCAGATCTCCTATTTTGTTATCCAGTGTTTCTACGGGTGGAATTGCTTCTTCCTCAGCATTAGCTCCAATTCTTATCTTTCCACTTTTATCGTATATTTCGGGCCGAATAGATGATGTGCTACGTGACCAGATTTATATTGCTATAGATGGAGATTCATGCATTTATTCTAATTGATGGAAAGATATTGATGGTTATTTCATTCTAGATGAAGCGTTCTGTCATCTTCGTTTTACTCTCGTAGGGTACTTCTACTTTAAAGACTTTCCGGAGGAGAGTTTTTCTCAATCGGAGGAGAATGATGGGGATCGTGTAGAAATTGGATAGATATTTTAGATTAATCATGAGAATAATTTAGTATTTATCTTTTAAGTATTTTCTTTTAATTTTTAAGGGTTTAATTGTCATTTTGATTAATAATTTATTTTAGAGTTTGTGATCTCCTTATATATATAGGGATACATATTTGTTGTGAGACTAGACTTTGATTATTGATTATTGATATTGAATCTTGATATTGTTTCTTCCTAAAATTCTCTCTCTATTCTCACCCTCTTCTTCTTCCCTTCTCATCCCTAATTCTTCCCTAATACAATCTACATCAGGATCATTCTTTGAGAAGGAGAAAGAGCAACATTACTCCAGCTCTCCCTCATTCATGACGGTATAGTATCCAAGTCCCTGGAGAGGGATGTGGGGTCCGGATGGGCTCGTGGTCTGGTGGAAGGCTTCCTGAATNATGACAGAACTATAGTCATAAGTACTATTTCATACTGGAGCAAATGTAGGCCAACACGTTTGGCTCAACCCTAACTACCCCACTTCTTTTCTTTTCTTTTTTTTAGTGGGTGTGGTGTTTGTTTATCAAATTTATTTATTAGAACTTATTTTTTAAATGATGTGACACAATATTCATCATTAATTTTTAATAGAACTTACTTAATCAATGACAAAAAATAAATCACACGTTATTTGGGATATATGAAGATCTAATAAAAATATTCGATAAGCAAAACATTGCTCGTTCATCAATTTAGTGGCCGCCCAAGATAAAGTTTGTTTGGACTAATTTGCATTTATTAAGATTATTGTCTGGTTTTACTTTGTTCTCATGTAATTATTGTGTTTGTTATCCATGTGAACCCTTTTTCCTTTGAGAGAGAGAGAGAGAAACCTAGATCGAAAGTTTGTAGGGTAGTGGGTTATTGGTTGACAAAGCAAGTGGGAGAAAAAAAGAAGAGAGAAAAAGACAGAAACCTAGATTGGGTGTTTATATGACTGTGGCTGGGTAGTTCACGACGCATGTGACCCATCCACAAAAAGGGTCTCAAAGCATGCAACGTTGAACATTTGTTGACAAGCAACATCTCATCCGCCAGGTGCATGCAGATAGAAATCATAATTTTTATAATTTAGGGTGGTTTAATGATTGAGTCTGATCTTTTATAATCTAGAGGTCTTAGGTTCAATCTTTTTCTACATTTTACAAATAGTACTGCTTTCTTTAAAAGTGTTTCTAACTTTTTTAATTGGAGGTTTTTGACGTTTTTGGAGTTGTTATCTGATGGTTACCACCTTACTA